TTTTACAAAGGAAAATAGTTTGGTTGTACTGTTCAGTAATTTGCAAAATAGTAAAATCTATATCATTCAAATCAGTATAAATATTGTGATAAAATTGAAATCGTGATTTAACTGTAAAAAAATCGTGATATGATATTTTTGCCATATCGCCCACCCCTAGTCGTTGCATGAACCATTGGCCCATACAGCACAGGGCCTGGATGATGTAAATGGAAAAGAGAGGAGATGGCGCGAGTGAGAAGAACAGTGAGAACGAACTGTGCCAGTCTTTGCTGTTGTATGGGATAACGTGGCACTATGTGTGCAATGTGCATACAGTAAATATGTGTTATTTTTATTATTACAACACTGGATTTACTGCGGTTCCATTTTAGGTTTCCTTTCTTTGTACATGACTGAATTATATAGAACAGAAAGATAAATGTCATTGAAGCACATTTCAACATTTCTGATTAATTCCTATTATAGGTCTACTATAGTACATTCTGTAGAACAAAAAGGTGAAATGGAACATTGATTTGCATGAAAAATAAAAAATACTTCCAAGACAAAATTATGCATCTTTTAATGCTCCCTGTTGTTAGTGTTAGATCATTGTGCTGTGTGGGACAATGTATTGTTGTCGGATGTTTGCTATAATGAGACACGAATGAAGTGTTTGATGGTTTTAGAGAATTTTGGGCGTGAGATTAACTGTTGGGCCAAGCTGTAATGCTGGTAATGCAAACAGTGTGAAGAGTTTTGAAAAAGTTCGGCATTGAGAAATGCTTGCTAGCACTTGTTAAAAACTGCATATAATAATGTCCTCAGCAACTATGAGTGTTTTGGTGCTAACAGTGCAAACTGCTGTTTGGCAGTTTTTTTCTCCTTGTTTAACTGTTGACCCTACAGTTTTGGTGCAACAAAACTGAACCAACATCTCATGAATGAAATTAAATGAGTGCCACCATGCTGTGTACCACAGTGTAATCAATGTGCGTAAACCTACTTATGCAGCTCAGTTGAAGCTCAAGCCCACAAAATGTAGATATGTAGGCAAATAAATTTTGTTTCCCATGAAGTAATTTGGCAGGAACTTTTGTCTTAATGTACCAAACTTCAACTAAGCTACAGTTTGTTAAGCAATGGAAATGAAAACAGCACAGAACATCTTTGGAGAATAAAACAGAACTGAATGCTAGAAAACAACTATTCACATCTAACCACCTGTAACAAAAAGTAACATTTATATTTGATTATAATGACTTCAGAGGAATAAGTGGCAAATTAATGAGATTTTTTTTGGAGTGGTGGCAGTGAGGCTACAGATGCCTGCAACTGAAAGGTTGCTGGTTCAAATCCCGTGAATGCCCAGAGTAATTCTACTCCATTGGGCCCTCGAGTAAGGCCCTTAACCTGCAATTGCTTCGTCCTGGGTATGATGTTAATCTACATCCAGCCCTATAAGGAGGACCTCCAACTTACAGGGAAAAGCTTGGGAGTCGGTGGCAGGATTGGCACTCCAGCCACTGGAAAAAAAAACACTGGTCCATTTGGACTAGTGTGGTGCTGAAGTATCACCCGCCACATGGCTGCACTCAGGTTCTCATCCCTGAGGTGGTTTGTCATGTGATGGGTGTGGCAACACACTGTATCAGTGCATGCTCCTCACACACTGTAACAGTGCATGCTCCTCACACACTGTATCAGTGCATGCTCCTCACACACTGTAACAGTGCATGCTCCTTACCTCTCCTCTCTCTCTCTCTCTCTCTCTCTCTCATAACTAAAAGCCAGTTGTGGCTTGTTGGGTTGCCCTGTTTGCTCACACCGCTGAGTTCAAGGGTTTGATTCCTGCCTGTGTGTGTGCAGTTTGCACCTTCTCAACGTGTTGTGTGCATACAGCCACAGACAGGCAACTCTCATTTGCGAACGAGTGTGTGCATGCAGACTGGCACCCCCCCCCCACCACGCATCCAGGTTGCAGCCCAGCCTTGTGCCCAATGCTGCCTGAGACAAGCTGTAGGCCCCCCCGTGAGTATGACCACAATAAGCAGCTAGGTGAGTGGAAGGTATGTGGAAAATGTAAAAAAAAGTAATAATAATAATAATTAAAACATTCCTAAATGTAAATACAATATTTGTTTCTATGCATATCTCTAAAACTCATCCCTACATCAAGTGCCAACCAACATCAAGTTCCATTTTCCCTCACAATAAAAAGCAAGCAAACAAATACTCTGCATTCAAAATATATTCAAACTATGAAAACAAAAAACACAAACATTCACTTATAATTAGGTGTATGCAAGCCTGTAGCATTAGTGTAATATTCTCCATATTGCCACTGCATCTGCTGCTTTTGATATGCTTTGTGTGGTCGCGAGCTCAGCTCTTATCTGAGGCATTTTTCTGTCCACGAATAACCGGCAAAGCCTCCATACATATATTTTTTAAATAGAGCCTGACGGTGAAGTGTGGGTTTGCTAGACATTCCTATTTCCTGCTACTTTGTTCCTGCTGCAATTTATCTGGGCGACACAGCCACAACAATGACACAAAAATAACACGACATCACAGCTGACTGCGTGCCATCCCGTCTCTACTCCGAGGACGCAATTATGTTGTTTACAGCAAAATGTTCATAAACGCTGAATAAGCAGCTTTCTGAGTAGCGGATTAATGGATTTCCCTGTACCGATGGACACCTAAAGACCATGGTATTATACCTGTGCATGCTATCTAATCAATGAGGCACATTTTCACATCAAATTAAGCAACTGAAGTTGTGCATAAATGAGCAGTAACACAAAGTGAACGGTTCCTTTGCCATGTACCCCACCCCGCCTCCATCCCGAGCTCGAGGGGCTCAAACGAAAGACTCACCAGCTCCACAGACCCATAGTGCTTCCGGCTGAACTCTCCTCTCCTGCATCCCAGGTCCTCTGAGGCAGAGCTACAACACAGACACAGCATTAGAGTGGCTCATCTCGGGCCATCCAGTCCAACACCCCCGTCAGCTGTCCCTGAGTGGACCTGTGCAGAGCGATGGAAGCTCAGCCCGTTCGCCTCCGAGCTCTCAACCCACCCCCACTCATGTCCGTCCAACAGCGCATCATGCATGGCAGCCGGTGCAGCTCAGCTCAGCTGCGGGAAAGGCCCATGATCCGATTGAACATGAAGTCATTATGTGAGCGAGTGACCTCTGCAAATGCAATATCAGTAATGCTTGAGGTCTGGCTTGCGTCCCACACTGATTACATGGAGGGATCCACTACACCAGAATCTTCAACCTTTCTAAACCCAGACCCTCCTGCTAGACAACTACTAGCAGTCCCTGCTAGTAGTATGCAATCACATAAGAACCTGAAAACTACTTAAGGAATAGGGAGGAACTTTAAGTGAAACCAAACGATATTCCCAGCATTTCAACAATTTATGATTTGCACCGATTTTCAATTTGCACACCCCCTGCAGTTGCCCTGCAGACCCCAGGGGGCACTGGACCTCAGTCTGAGAACCTCTGCTCTATTCTGTTTACTACCAACTTTAGCAAAAAAGGGCCTTTTCTAATTTTATACTGGAAAAAGTCTGTAAACTATGACATAGACTGTAAAACAGCTTATTAGACAATGTACTTTACAAAGGCTTGTTAATAATATGTAACATAACACAATTAGACAAAAGTTGCCACTAGATAGTATGAAAACATTGACTTTTTGAAAAGGTCACGGGCAGGATTGTTCGCATAAGCATAAGTTTCTCATGCTGAAATTCATTTTCAATGTGAAAAGGGAAACAAAAACTATAGGGCTTTGTTCTGTTCCTGCAGGGATGTGCGGAAACTAGCTATGGAGAAAAGGTCTGTCTTTGAGGTGGGAATTCCCACTAACTGAGGTCAGTTCCACTGCCAGGGGCAGTCGATGTGCAAGTGACAATGATGACAAATAACTTGAAGGCAAAAATGATCTGACGTAGCCTATGTTTATATACGTAATCAAAAGTGAAGACCCGTGCATAGTCCAGGCTTTGTTGCTGTACGTGAGGCTCACAGGGTTTGTTGTCATATGTTGCCATTTGATGTAAAAATTCACACGCTGTAGGCAGGGGACCTGCCTCCCCGGTGAAGTTCTTTGAAACTGAAGACAGGAACGGCATCGAAAACCGCGCCGCCTTATTTCACGAAGGAGCAAGTTCATATTACATAATTACACCAGGGTCGTTCGAGACGTGCCCATGCGAAGGGAAACATTGTAACACATACGTCAGTTACTCGCCACCCATGTGTTGGCAGCGATATTTTGGCACGATGCACACGGCAGTACGTTCGTTCCATTCCGGGTGCCAAGTTACACCAACTGCTCGCTGGATACTATCAAAACCAACCCCGCCCCTAATTTACACCGCTTCCGTGAACAACAAAGTGCAACTTACTTTCTCAGTTGTTCACTTAAATAGTTTACGTATCTATTTACCCCTAACAATTAGCTGCATGGCGGAAGGGGAACTACCCCAGGTCCATCACGGCAGAGGACCCACCGCAAAATTAACCCATAGACCGAGATGCCCCCAGTGATACCCCTTCTTCGTCACTGCCCCTATGCACCTAATCATTTGCTAATAAGCAAACATGTGAAAGCAAAGCTTAATAGTCGTAGAGCGGTAAACATTGCGCGCCGATAATATTACCGGAAAATGCTAATGCTTAAAATGACATGAATCAATAGTTTTCCATGCGACATTCACAGTTGCAAAAATGTAAGCACTTACAAATTTAAATGCATATTAACTCATGGGTATCAATAACATAATTTTAAATGTCCTTCTTTGTTTATCAAAAAAAAACCCATAATTTAAATAAATCGATTAAATGAGATTGAAGAGTGATATTAAGTTTTCGTGCAGGCTTTTAGACATTACAAAAACGTACGTAAAAAGTTTTAATAGCCCATATACTGTCAAGTATCTTTAATGGTGAAAACCCGATGCATTGTATACCGATGTATATCTCACTGAGTCTTAAGGATTTTTCAGATGTAAATTTAATGTTATCCTTTTGGATTTATATTTTGTTTTTCAAGGAATTAATCGCGATTTCAAAAACTTGAATTCACTCAGTTGTAGATCTTGTGAAGCGCTGTCGTAATCAGACGAACCTTTACATTCAGAGACATTAACATCAATTACAATTCTATCGTGGTAGTTTTTACCCTTAATTGTGCGCCATGAAAAATATTACTGCAGTAGATTGCGATCTTATTTTCTCACAGTTTGCAAAAATATATACCGATAGAGCTGCAATTACACTATAAAACGCAGCTATAACAATGCGAATGGATATAAAATCTAAGTATTTTCAACAACGTCAGAAAAACCTGAAGTAGGGTACTGTACTGTATATTATTTCAGGAGACAATGTAAAGGTGTATTTACCGGTGGGAGGACCTCAGTAGCTTAAGAGACGCCGGATCCCCACTGCTCATATCCTAATGCGTTTTGCCCAACAAGAGACGGCAGTTAACAGCTTCTGTTATGGGTATTCCTCTTTATTCTAGATCGCAGCGCTCACCATCCATAAAAGAGCCTGATTCACGTGAGCACGACATAAACGGCTTACGATTCATCGCGCCGTTGCTGATGCTCCAAATGAAATAGTGTCTGTTCATTGTGTAGTATTATAACCACATTCACAACTCATGTGTTGCAACGGAAAGGCCAGCCTCTCAAAATAGCTTTAGGGGAGCCGCCTCTGTGGGAGACGATCACGCATCTTTCGGAACAGTCAGCACGTACAAGCTGACGATAACATCAGAGTGTAATCTTTAAAAACACACTTTAAAAACTTGTACTTGTTATAATTCGTGAATGATGTCTTATGCTGAAACTGCTTAAATCTAAACGGTGAAACCTACCAAGTAAATACGCTGGGAGACCAGAAGTTCCGAAAAGCACCGTTTATCTCACAACTTCTTCAATGTCACTCTGACTATACAACCGACTGCCTAGTGACACCCTTTAATGCCATAAAGGCTAAATAATGTTCAGTATAAAATTTACTCGTCGTTTTAATCCTCTGAAATGATATCGGTCAGTATATTAGACCTAAGTGATTTGCTTTTCGTGGCTGCCATGATCTGCCAGGATCAAGGAGTCTCACGTAAGCTATAAAGACTTATAAACAAAAGATAAATCTTTAAATAAATGCTTTGATGAAGTACATACATCCCGCTGAGCCTGCTTAACTGGTTTAGTTTTACAAAAATGTTGTTATTGTAATATGATTGAGTTAAACAGATTTTTTCTTAAAATCATCATCATTGTTTATTTGTTTTTTGTTTGATTCTCTTTTACATGAAACAACACACTATGTTTATTAGATTCCCCTTTAAGGTAATATGGTTTGGGATTGCATTAGGATTACTGATATGGAGAGAGTAAGGTTAACCTTTATGGTTAGGCTAGGCCAAGGGTTATGCTTAATATTAGAATTAAGTTTAGTATTAGGATTATAGGTGATATAATTTTATTTTGGTGTGTGTTGTGTATGTATTACATATCATATGTGAACCCTGCCTATACCCATTACCACTGTGACAGATAATGATCAGTGTTTTACAAGGATACTAAATTTAGAAATAGGTTTAATTCACGTGGATTGACAGCATTTTATTGCCACACTTCCCCATATCACAGATTGTTCCCTGTTACTTTCCTCATTGTTTGGCCATGCTAATGACATTTTGCACTGCAGCAGGTTTAAGGAGCGATCTGCTTTAAAAATCACAAAAGTCCAGCTTGATACAATCAGCTGGAAAATTGTGTATGTTGCAGTGTGTAGTCATGCTGAAGTGACACATTACAGCCGTCGCACACAGTTATATTACTCATCTGGTTCTGACTCCTGGGTGTCATGTCACCTCCCCATTTGTGAGAGCTGAGTATGACTTACCCCTCAGCTGAATTAAATGATATATTGCAGTGCAATGCTAGAATTGAATGTAAAAGACAAGTCTCATTGTAGCACCCTGAGAGAGTGTAACCGGAAAAAAGTGCAGTATTTTCAGGGTCTTTTAGAGGTAGGTTAACGTTGTCTAGGAGGCTTTTTCCTCACTGTAAAAAAAGTTAAATCAACCTAAAATTTCAAGGCAACTTACTGCACTAGATTTTTGAGTTTTGAAGAAAACCACCTATTGTTGTGACAAATAATTATTTTTTTTCGGGTAATCTATCTTTCATATCTATAAAAACGTCTGATTTTTAGTTTTACATACTAGGAATTACAAACAACAAAAGTGCCAACTTATTCTCTTAAGTTCAGATGATTTACCTTTCATATGCGTAAAAACTTTAAAATTTGAGTTAAACATACGAAGAATTAAAAACTGCAAAATATGTGCCAACTAATTATTATAAATGAAGAAACCAAAACAGTTCAATTAGCATGTTTATTTTAAACATGATAGTAATAAATAATAGCGACAAATTTTGGATCCCTGTGGGAAATGACAGCAAGCTTGACTGTGACGGGCTACCAGTTGTGGCACCTACTGTATAGGGAGCTGGGGGTCACAGGCCATGCTCAAGGGCCCCCACCTGTGCTGATGCTGGGCTTGAACTGGCTACCTCTAGTCCATGAGTAGATGGGCTTAGCTCACAGAGCCACATACTCAGGAACGGGAAATATAAGCTGAATAAGGTGCTAACACAAAAACACTGTTTACAGTGCTTGAATTCTTGGCAAGAGTGTTCTTGTTAACTTGTCTCCCAAGAATGAACTTGGGATGCTATAAATCATGGGATGGTTCTCTTTACCAAGGATACCACTGATGCATCTTTGATATTTGGGGTTGGGCAAGAATGACATCCAGGGTTTTTTTTTACCGTCCTCCATGTTGTTGAGTACTGGAACTGTACTTCAGCAATGGAAGATGATGCCACATAGGTACGCTAGAACACAAGAATGATCAAGTGCAGTCAAGGAGAATGTGTTATACTGTGACCTGGGGGAGACTTACCATGAGGAAAGGGTAGGCAACCGCTTGGAACCCCCGAAAACTATGGGTCCCATGAAAATAGAATCTCCAGAAATTGTATTTCTGTGTATAAGATAATATGATCAATTGACTTATAGCAACATGTCTGTTATTTTCATTTTCAGCGACAATTTTCAGGATAAACAAAATAGCCACCTCCATCCTGGCTGTATTGGACTATTCTTATTTTGAGATTTACCCAGCTTTGTTTTCACACTGGAGTCTAGTGGTAGGCTTCCAGTTGTTCCACTGCCAAGTGAACCAGCACAAAGTAACCTAACAGAAGAAGCAAAAGATGCAAAGATACAAGAATAACATCTCCTATGTTATTGATTCTAAACAAAGGGTGTACCAAGCATGCAAAGAATGTGTTTGTATTCCTGGCAAGAGTGTCCTTGCTATCTTGCCTCTCAGGAATGAACTTGAGACGCAATTAATCATCAGACTGTTCTTATTGGTGAGGATGTAACCTTGATATTTGGGGAGGGTCAAGAATGACATCTGGGGATTTTTACTGTCCTCCATACTTCTGTTCTTGAGTATTGGAACTAGTTTGCAAATAGAAGATGATGTCAAACAGGTAGGTACATGAGAATACAAGAACAGTCAAGTATGCACACCCAAATTGTAAAAAGAGAGAACATAAATGCAGAGTACTATTGAAAAGTTTGGACACACCTACCCAAAGAACATTTGTACTATTGTCTACATTTTAGAATAATTATATAGACATAAAAGCTAAAACATTACGGTGGCTAGGTAGGCGTGTCCTGAAAATGCTACTGAATATCTGGCAATTGACACTGACGGTTGGGCAATGGGTTCTCCTATTCATTTAAAGTGGTATACGGGGTAAATATGGAAAGAATTATCCCATTGAAATATACACTGCCAGTCAGAAGTTTTGACACTTCCACCCATAGAAACATTTATTTGTACTATTCTCCGTATTTTAGAATGATTATAAAGACATAAAAACTATAAAATAACATATACAGTATGGAATTATGGGGGGTGGGGGGGGGGGTAAGCTTTGAGGGTTGGTTACTGGTTTAAATTATGTGGTATACAGAGAGAGATGTCACCATTGGGCTCCAGAGCTATGTCCTTAACCCCAGTCGCTCCTGGGACTGGATGACCCTACTTTCTCCTTTACTCTTTTCGAGCTGTCCTTAAGGAGTTCCCACATATATGTTCAGCATTCATTGGATACTTTTCCTTCATTCTCTGGGCAGACTCCTCCAAAACCATTTCTACTGTGTTTAGCTCAGGTGTTGCGACACTCTATCACTCTCCTTTATAGGCTGCTTGGCGTGTACAAATGTTTGACTGCTACTGTTTAGCATTTTCCAACAATTCTGTGTGATTTTTTTGCTGTTTAGAACTTCACAAACAGCATTCAACACTCACTACTATGAAGTAAAATAACTATGAGCGCCTTTAAAATCTCAAAATGGACTGCAGATCCCCCTGCTGTCGAACACATGCTACAATAGCTCTATTTTCTTCTCTAGTCCAGCTGGAAAAAACCTGTACTTGCTGCCCATTTACTGAAAATAGACTTTCTAAACATTTGAGAATGTTTAGCTGTAGCTGGTGTCCTTTAACATGACTATCGACCTGTGTTGTCAGATTAACTAACACATCAATTGAATCACATCCACTGTGAAAAATGAACTCTAGAATATTTACAGCAATCTCCTTAATGGGTGTAACAGTAGGATTTTCAATATCAGTGTATTCCAGTCAGCAGCCTTCTCAGAGTGATTTTTAACATTTTCTCTAGCAGTTAGCACTTTAGATGAGAATCTAGTCCAGGGTCATTTTTGAAATGTCAATCATCATCCTTTCTGACCTAGCAGATCTGAGTTGAAATTTTGTGCAGTGTTTTTTTCCCCATTTTCCTGCATGTACGCGTAAAATAACTAGAACCAGCATACTGCTTTCATGTTTGTCAGCATGAAGCCATCAAATGGACAATGTATTTCCTTTATTGCAAGTTCTTTAAGCTACATAAAAGCGGGTCTACATGACAAAGTAAACAGCAAAGTACAGATTAAAATTAAACTATATAACATTTGTCAAAATACAGTCAAAACATTTTCAAGTCTTACATTTGGAATATGGATTCTAGTGACTATTTATAGCTTGAAAGCAAACTTGTTTTCAACCCTAGATCTACCCACTTGCCATCCTGGATTAATATGAGGATTCACTTAAGTTATTTACGTCTGAAATTAAAATTAAAAAGATAAATGAAAAGTAACAAATAAACCAAACAATATTCCACTATATCACTCAGAAATTTTACAGGAAGCAAGGGATATCTTGGACCAAAAAAGAAAATTTAATTTCTCGTGTGGATTATAATTTCTCATTTTTAAATATGTAAGTAGATACTTAAGCACGGTGCAGTTGCAGTTTACACCGAGAGTGACCAATTTTTGATTGATAGAACTGTTTCAAATACTAAAAAAAATACTAAATCTGCAACCCAATGACACAGTTTCCTGAACCACAATAGTACAACAGAATGATCCCAGCATTCTCTTAAATTAGACAGCTGATACACAACACACTGTCTGGTGCTGATGCTTTGGATGGGATAAAGTGGGTGGGAGCAGAATCAGTGTTATGCCAATAGTGGGGTACAGTGGAGCTGATTGAAAAGTACTCTGCATTGGCCCTCACCAGAACCGAGAGAAGCAGAGCCTACTGTGGCCTCTGCTACAGGCAGAAAACCCACCACAAACAAGGCCCCACTTTCGGTGGCCAGTTAAACTTTACCTCTTGAACCTCCATCCAAACGTACCCACCACGCCCCGCTGCTGTCGTGTAGGGTGTCTGTCCCTCTGTTTCCCAGACCCAACAATTATGGTCTGTCACTCGTCTCAGTTATCGACTGAACTGACCGCCACAATCAGAGGCAAGCTTCTAGCTGCCACTGTGTTCTCCAATCACGACTCTTCCCTTACAATGTATGTTTAGACTACATTTCAGTGATTGTATATATTTTAATGTATGTTTTTCTTTTAATGTATGTTTTAGTAAAAATTATTTGTGAGACCTTTTATTTGGTGTCGACCAAATATGCCATATTATTATTATAAAGTTATTTCGATTAGTCTTTGATATTAATTTTTATATAAATATATCTACTTGTCAAGAGATCTCACTTTTGGTTAGCGCCCTGTCCTGCATTATTGCCTGCCTTGCGCCAGTTTATCTGTAATGTTCTGTAGGACAAGTGGACATGGAAAATGGATGGATGGAAGGACTGGATGGATGAATGGATGTATAGATAGAAGGATGGATGGGTGGATGGATAGACGGAACTCGCTTGATTAAAGCAAGCATTACAGAAGAAATACCTCCATCTTGTGGTCATAATTAGAAATACTACTACATCCAAGAAATACTATTATCAATGAGAAAACTTTTTAATGCACCTATTCGCTTCAAACCAGTTTGCCAAAGTCCAATATAATTCCGCAAATGTACGGGCGAAAATGTTTTCTATATACAAAAGTATACAGCAAAGACATGCAGTTTATGGTAGAAGCCGCTCGCCTCACATTTTACCGGACTGTACCTGACCATCAGAAAAACACGTTTAAATTAAACCCAAAATATTACTGCAACTTACGTCTACATTTCTGATCACCCATTTAATATGTACACGCTGAAATGTAATGTTTTCGACAGTCTTTCTATCATGACACTGGTCAGCTACATTAAGAATAACTGTATAAAATGCAAAAAATCATGTGTTTTATTATTAAAACTCCAGATGGACTACGTTGTCGCTAGTTTAAAACCACAGAAACTCATCAAGCGTAATGTGAGGTTATAAACACCAGGGTTTGCAACACATCTCCAGATCAAGCACTTAAAACCCAGTTCGTCTCCCCCCCGGGACCGACCTTTTCCGTCTCGTCCATCACCGCAGGTGACGGCTCAATTACTGGAAGCGGCTTGATGTTCATGAATAAAATGGCTGGTACAATACGCTTCCTTGTATCGCTATTAGATCGAGAGAGGCACGGTCCCAAGCGCGAGTCGCCGCTTGCCTTACCTTGTTATTTCAAAGCTGCACCCTTTCCTCAGCAGGAGCGCTCTCTTCCTCATCATGCCTGTTTTTTCCCGACCAAGATACACATCACTATCCGAATTCATAAAAAAAAGACCTTCCCGAATTGGTAGTTACAAAACACCTATAAAAATCTGCAAAAACTACGTAAATCGAAGCAGATACCAAAAACTGCTGTGAAACGGATAAAGGCGCTGAGCTTCTTCTTATAAAGACAGAGGAAACAGATTAGTTTCCATGACGGAAAGGCAATTATTTGAAAACTCCAACTCCATGTTTCATAGATATGAAAACGACCAAAACGCCCAGGTTAAAAGGTAGGATTCGCACTGACAAGCGCAGCCAAGTCCTAGATAGTTCGAGCAGTGAAGTGGACCAACACCACTATATACCACTCCTTCAGCCACTATTTGAAGATTCCGCTAGGTCCTAATGTCTATCGAAATATTGTAGACGTTAGGTAGGAAAAACACTCCAGCTTTTATTGAAATTAACACAGATTAATGTAACAGTGTACTCTGAAATTAATGCATAGAGCAATAAACAACTGGAGAGAGAAATAAATCTTGATATCGTTTTGTTAAACACACTTTAGGTCAGATCTAAATTTTTGATTTAATAAAGCATCCACCTTTTGCAGATACAACAGCTAAAAACACCCATTGCACGATTTCTACAATGGAAATCACATATTGTTCAGAAAGGTATTTGCACCAAGTTCCCACAAATGTGTTGCTCGTGTAGTTGTTTTGTTTTTTCCTTCTGTATGATTCATCCCAAACCAACTCGATATGATTTCAGATAGTCTGGAGACTGTGTATTCCATGAACTGAAGCATATTGTCTTGTTCTTTTCTTCTAAAATAGCTCTGACATAGTTGGAGGTATGTTTTTGGTCATTATCTTGCTGTAGGATTGACCCCTGACCAACTACAGTAGGTGTAGACCAGAGCATGATGCTGCAAAATGCTGTGGTAGCACTTTGACTTCAGGGTGTCAGTCACTCTGTGCAAGTCACCGACCTCGTGCTGTCAGTTTCCTCCAGTTTCCAAATGTTTTTTATTGTAGGAAACTCTGTTGACTGACAACTTGGTTTCTTTGCATCTTCTCTAAAGGATAGACATGCATTTTTAAGGATTATAATGGTTTGTCTGAATACCTTTGTTGATACCTTTTATAATTATCACAGCAAAATACTATTTCCAAATAATACTTCAGAGGATGTAGTACTACAGTCTATTGAAACGCTGCTTTTTTTACAGAAATAGGGATTGTAAGCAATCAACAAATGTTTGGAGACCTGGACGAATTGTTTGCATTCTTTGGGTTTAAGGCTTAATTTACTTCCATTGCTGCAGAAATGCTGTAAGTTGTTAACTCATTACTCCTTTCTTGATAAAGGCTTTATTTATAACTGAAATTTACATTCTTTTTTCAGTTTTTAGTAACCTTTTCTTTAACCTCTGGTAGTTTGCCCTTTACCTTTGTACCACATCAAATCATTCACTGGGCTTGAAATATATTTAAGTAAAACTGAAAAAAAAGCACGAAATAAAACTTTTGACTGGTAGTAAATCTCTATTTTTTGTCTGTTAATTGATGTAATCATAATTATGTATTATAGCAAGGGTCTCCAACTCCGGTCCTGGAGAGCTACTATCCAGTAAGTTTTCTATCCTACCTGGCTAGAAAATACCAGGAGCAGGTGTGGCTCATCAGAAGCCAGGTAGGATAGAAAACTCACTGGATAGTAGCTCTCCAGGACCGGAGTTGGAGACCCTGGATTATAGTGTACTGCATGTCTTACAAAGCAGATGCTGTCAGGACAATGCCAGCTTAGTGATTACAGAGATCAAAGCACATGGTTTAATACACACACACACACACACAGGTTTATAATTATCATTTTGGGTACACACCATTCATTTTGATGGGGAAAACTCTAATCACAACAACCTCAAACCCCTACCTAACCTTAACCATAAGTAACCAAACAAAATATGAGACTTTTTTTTTATTGCATTCACAGACCTTTGACGGGACCTGAAAAATGGTCCCAATAGTGTCAAAATAACAGGTTTTTATTACATTGTGGGGAACAAGTTCTCCTCTGGTCTCATCCTAGTGATGTGTATGTGCAGGGACAGCCTAAACATGGCCCACAGCAGACAAGGGCAGCACGAATCAGCCCCCCGAAGGAACTCCTTTCCCCCATTTTGTGCTTGCCAAGGGAAACACTGTAGCAACACTGAGTCTGGCTGAAGTCACCAGCATTACACACCTGAGAGACAAAGTTACACAGACAGCATGCCTTTGAACTTGCCCTTCATTGGCTAAATTAATTAGTAGCTGTACTTAGCAACCATCTTAAATCCAAAAAAGAGATATCAATTAACAAAAAACTGAATATGAAAATGTTCATTTGAATGCAACAGATCCAGCATACCATTTGAATGCAATAGATCCAGACCTACTATGGCAAAACCAGGAAGAAAAAAATGTCATAAAATCTATGGTCTCCAACATCTACCCTCAAATAAAGCCAGAAAACATTGATTGAAAGGAAGTTTGTTGTTTGGGTTCTATTCTTTGATTATGGGTAAAAATGATTTGAAATGACACATATGGGGTGAAAATTAAGTTACTATTTTAGTATTTTAATCAATGATTATGTCATAGCATATCAGATAGTGGGCAAAGACACAACGGTACAAAAATGATAAACGTGAATCATTTGGATGACTCAGATATGGACTCACTCTGCCTGTATGGAATGTGCCAGCCGAACCCCCTTTTCATTTTTTCTATTTCGTTATTTGTATTTTATGTGCTCTCCTAATTGTCTCCATATTTGTTTCCCTGAAAAGCAATAAAGGTGCTTTTTGTTATGACCATTTTCTGCATTTAAACTGAAGCCTTTTCCCCAACACAACCCAGGGAAGAAGAGGCCACTTTAAAATCAGTGCAGCCAGTTATGTCTGTTTAAGCTACAATGTTTACTGTGACCTAGATTCTCTCCAAATTGAATCACCAAGCTGTGCTTAGTCTAAATATTTATACCCTGAGCAATAATGCCAGCGATGCCAGTTTGTCTGCAAACAGGTGTGCAGTCTGTTTGTACCTTCTTCTGTTTCCATGTGTTCACCTTTTGGCAGACTTCTGCAAGCTCAAGTGTCTGCTTAGCAGTAGGATTTCAGAGGCAAGCTGCTACACTGAGAGGACATCAGTCCATTCCCTTTCCAGAATGAATGCATGAATTTGACAGTTTTGTGGGTAGACCTTGTCATCCTTCTTTAGAAGCCAAGTTGTAGCAGATAATAATCTAATATCAGACAACAATAAATGGGTCCATGGATTCTGAGGCTTATTTGTATAACTGATCAAAATATATTTGCTATGTTTTTCTGTGTGTCTACATAAAGTTCAATATATGTTTGTCCAGCTCCTAGGAGACCAGATTCTACTTGTGTAATGGCTTTTCCTAGCAGGTAGGAGAAGCGAAACTCCTTGGATTTTGCATCGGCAGTAAGATTTAAAAACTATCCTGATTATTCTGGCTGCGAATGAGCACAGATGAACCACATCACATAATGTTTTGGCTCGTCAGTGTATAACATAAAGTATATAACACAACACAGGACTGAACCTGACTCTGCAAAGCCTTGAGGTTCAAAATATTACTGCACTCCTCTCATATTTATTTATAATATGTTTCAATCTCCTAGCTCAGAATGAGCATTTTAGTAATAAAATAAAGCTAATAATAAAATTTAACTAATATAACCACCATGCGACATGGGAAATCTGAGAAGGGGGGTGACCTAAAAAACTGGGATAAACAATGCTCAAAGACAAATTAAATTACAGTATATTATTTTTGTGGAGACTGGAGAGACCAACAAACAAAATCATGACATGGTTAATTGAGGCTGGCATGAAGGTCATTTGGCTCAGGTTTACAGAGAAAACCAGGAGAGGTACCCAAACAAGTGGGATAAAAATGACGCAGACCTCTGGTCATCTGGGAGCCCATGCTGGCCCGGACAAACAGCCATTAAAATGGTCAAGACTCATGCAAAGATGTGCAATAGTTTTTTGTTTGCCTCATTCCTTTTTCCTCCCACTAGCTTCCAAGTGTTTAAAAAGTACAATCCTGTAGCTCATCTTGTGTTGACTCATACCCTTCAAATAAAACCACAGCACTTGTAAACTCATAAATGTACTGCGAACCTCATACTGGCCCAAATACTCGAGGCAGTAATGATCCTGTACATTAAAATGCCAGGAAGGGTCCATTTGTTAACCTGTAAGGTGACTTTTTTTCAGAAAAAAAGTGCCCACATGGATGTATATTAGAGCAGGAATATGCTGCAAGACCTGATGAGTGTGGAGACTGTTTTCACAGATGACAAGTATTAAAACTTTGTTTATATGAAGACAGTAACCTCCTAATTCTGCCTTTGCTTGGTGACACTGCACAAAGTTCTGTAAAAGTATAAAATCCAGATACCACTTTACAATAAGGCTCCCTTTGCCACTTGTAAATGGTAGTAACTCATTAATAAAAAGAAAACTGTGTTATAACTTTTAAAATCATCTATTAATATTTTACAAAGTGTTACAACCTAATTAATAACCAGATTATAAACCATTCATAAACTCTTTATATGGGTTGGGGTAAAGTGGCACCAAAATCCATTATACCATGAATCCTTGTTGTTTGTTGCCTTCATGGACAAATACATGTATCATAGAGTTAGTTTTTACTGCAAATAATATTGTGCTCTGGTTACAACTATACAGATTCTTTTAAAATCAAGGTGGATGCTTTATAAAATTTATACCTTTAGAGTTTATACCCCAAATCTTTGAGTTTTCACTGTAGTTGAATGAGAATTTATTTAACTTGTAACTTTCATTCCTGGTACTACCTAACATGTTTTTAAAGTTATATGTCCAGTTCTCCTGATAACTTTATTCATTATTCTGTCTTCATCTAAAACCCCATTCACCCTTGCATGACATTCCCGCCTTATACATACTTCAGTGGGTTAAAAGGGAGATTAAACCTAATGCTCCTCACTTAAAGCATCTTTGGTGGTTTGTCACAATAAAACTTCTCACATTCATATTTAACCTCACTGGAGTTGCAGAGACATTCAAGGCTTTATTTTTAAAGGGTAATAATTTTTCACTAGGGTAATTTGTGGAGTCTATGGTCTGGCATGCTTTGTAGTGGACACAAGGGTTTAAGTAGGCTAGTTTTAGGTTACTTTTTAATTTTAACTAGTTTTCTGCATTGTAATGTTTAACTGTAAATGGGCTTTTTGACCATTTTGTTAATTTCTGGAATAAAATTTAATTTGGCAAA